CAAAGCTGCCACTCATGCATACAGCTGTCGTTTTACTAAATTATATGAAACTTGCAAGTATTTCTAATAAAAAGCTCTAAAAGGCAGCTTATTTTTCCTTGTACTGTTTTCAGCTCTTTCATTTGAGTCACAGCATGTTGTGGGAGCCTGAGGAAGGCAACTGAGAAAAGAATCACACTTCCAAAATATCTCAGAGGTTTTTCTACAAACCCTGTTCACGCGACCTGGCAGCACCTCAGATTTAATATTCTTTTCATCTATCCCTAAAATTAGACAGCACTGAAGTACTAAATAACTTGCATTTTTAAGGTGTCTGGTTTGGCCTATCACATCAGAATAAGAAAGACAAATGCCTTACAGTATTAACTGCAGTTAAAGGTTAAGGCACCGAAGTTCGTTGAACTTAATGGCACTGAGAACAATCATCATGTCTTTAACTTTAGGCCTAACAAATCCAACATACTGATCAGGCATTTGGCTGTTGTACACAGACACCAGTTTATTCTGGGCACATTTTATGATGCTTAACTAAAAAAGGACATTTCATCATAGCATTTGTATTTCCAAATGAATGTTTGGCATTGCTAAGTATGGACTGACAAATATTTTGCTTAAAATCTTTTAAAAATAATAGTCGGGGAAAAGACATATGGGAATAAGAAGAAGTCTACAAGATGTGTACCATGCACAAAAGACATGCTCTTCTTCAAAGGAATTTTTGCATGCATTATTTTTTTTTGTATTGTCTTCTTTTTATTTTATTATCTCCTTCATTTTTGTATACCACTTCTACTTGAGCAAAACTCTCAAGCTTGTATGCTTAAAATCAGGTTCCTAAATCAGTACAGCAGATGCCTATTTAATTGAAAATAATGGCATTCATTAATTTCCTAACCTGTAGGGGTACTCATATCTAACTCCAAATCAGTCAGACTAGCTATGTAAATCACAGACACTAACAGTTGTTTCTACCTGCTTGTGGGGACAATAGCATATGTTGTCGAATTTGATTTAATTAAAAAGTCTGTGCAATCAAAACCAGCATGATGCATGACACTTTTGCTCAGGAACTTTTTGCTAAGAAATGAGGATTCTGATTGACCATGTGTGTAAATTATTTTAGTAAAGAAAATAAACTGCTCCAGATTTTCCTTAGAAATGTTTCCTTCTTGGGAATTTTTAAACTAACATATTTTCCAAATGGATAATTTGATTTTTCTTAACTTGAAACCTTTTATGTAGAAATTTACTTATTAAAACACACATTTTCTTCAAATCAAAACTTTATATTCAGTCAAAACAATCTTTCTCTTTCTGTGCTTTTTTTAATGGAAGTTTTAAAAATGTTTATATTGTCCAACTGTGGCACATCTCTATGGCTGAAAGCAATTTACAGAACATTCTGCCAAATTGAGATCAGTCAACCATATTTTCCAGAACCAACATCTCAGCAGCTTTGCTATTTGCCAAAAAGAGGGGTAGACTGTCCTTAACAGTTGCTGGAGATGTAAATGAAACATAATGAGAAATGCACGGACCACAAATGCACTCAATTTCACAACTCTGTCGAAAAGGAGAGGGCAGTAGGCAGGCTATGAGAGGAAATTTCTAGGACTTTATTCCATCAAGACTGACCCAGCCAGAAGATAACAGTCACTGGAGCACATTATATATTAAAAGCTCCTGTCCTTGTTTATGGGAAGATGGCTCCAGAAACTGCAACCTAAGTTATTCCTGTCAGAAAGCCACAAACTATATAAAGGGGTAGGGATCCATCTCACTGCTGAACACAAAACAGACTTTCAAACACATTTGGTAGGCCTCACGTTAACATACAGCTGAGTGCCACTCAATAGTAATGTGAAAAACATCAGGCTGCTGTGGGTTGCCAAAACATGATCCCATATTGTGCATTCATCCCTGAGGCTGTAGATTCACTTCCCTAACTAAATAAAACAGGGGACATCTGTTTCTGACAACAGCAGTAAAAAAGTCATTCCATTGATCTTTGCATCTGAGAGAAAAAAAAAGACTTAGAAGACTAAATATAACGCAAATGTTACTGCCTCGAGAAGTCCTTAATGTGAGAAATGGACACATCCTATTCCTGGAGGCAATGAATCAAGTTAAGTATCAATTTTGATCACAACCCTCCCAGAGAAACTCCAACTTGTTGGACTGCCTTCAGGAAAGAATTTAGACAAGTCCCATTCCAGTTTATCCTGTCACAGAATCACAGAGTGGTTGAGATTGGAAGGGACCTCTGAAGTTCATCCTGTCCAACCCTCTGCTCAAGCAGAGCCACCTACAGCAGGCTGTCCAGGATCGTGTCTTTTGAATATCTCCAAGGATGGAGACTCCACAACCTCCTTGGGCAACCTATGCCAGTGCTCAGTCACTCTCACAGTGAAAAAGCCTTTCCTGATGATCAAACAGAACCTCCTGTGTTTCCATTTGTGCTCATTGCCTCTGGTCCTGTCACTGGGCACCACTGAAAAGAGCCTGGCTCTGTCCTTTTCGCACCCTCCATTCAGGTATTTATCTACATTGATAAGACTCCCCTGAGACTACTCTTCTCCAAGCTGAACAGTCCCAGCTCTCTCAGCCTTTTCTCATAGAAGTGCCACAGTCCCTTCATCAGCTTTGTGGCCCTTTGCTGGAGTCTCTCCAGTATGTCCACGTCTGTCTTGTACTGGGGAGCCCAGAACTGGACACAGTACTCCAGGTGCGACCTGTGATGATGACATTCCTGTTCATCCCATTATAACATTACAGTAACAACTTCTGGTCTGTGAAAATCACTTTTTTAAACTCCATGTTGAAAGATGTATTTTTATGTATGTATTCCATTTCCACTTTGCTTGGGAAGGGCACTAATTAGAAGTACAAAGATGAACGGGAAATGGATTCTCTTTCATCTGTTACACCAAGAATGACTGATTTCAAAAGGATCTTTTAATAAAGTGATTGATGCACCGCCACGTTCCAACAAAGGTAATTTAACCAATACTTAACAACATAATCCGTGTAATTATTAGAGATGAATGTAAAAATGTAGACCAGTTCAGTTTTATAAATAAAACAAAGATGTGAACCCATGTTGTCTTTTGCCTCCAGAAGCAACTATGAGACTGGAGTATTCTGATGCAACTATTTTGGGACCTCAGGATGAACTCTTTGGGGTTTTATTCTCTATGTGGAAAACCAGGTATCATGAAATTTACAGGAAAACAAAACCAAACATCGTCTTGAGCAATAGAGAACATATTTAAAAAAACCTTTTCCTCTTGGAGCGGCTACCTTTTCCTCTTGGAGCTGCAAATGAATAGCTGAATGGAGCTATTCATTATCCCTCTAATAAAGGTCAGTCAAAAATTGAACATAAGGAAATAGATTTTGGTAGCCTAAAACATTTTCTAGCTGTTTAATCATAAAATGCTACAATATAAAGTATATCTCACAGTTCAAAGAATTCTTTTGAAAATTTATGCTCTGCTTAGTTTATCATGATTACCAATCTACTGAAAATTATTGTAAGGACTATAAATCTGTTCCAATGAATACATCTTTGTTCAAAATCCTTGAAAAAAACATTAATAAAGTACCAGAAATTTGGGAAATTATGTACCTGAAAAACACGCTAATTGTTAATGGTTCTAATTAAGTATGACTGTTATAATGGAAAAGTCTTCTATGTCTCCAATTAGAGAACTACGGAGGAATTACTCTTAAACTCTACTCATGCAAAATCCCCAAGTTCTGGCCTGGACAACAGTTGCAAATGAAAGCTGGATTTAGACCTTGTTAAACCACATAAAAAGAAAAGTTCAATATTGGTATATTTATTTTTCTTCAACTCATGAGGACAAGCAGAGAGATATTACGTTGTTTTTGCTTTAAATTAAATTCAGTATGTCTTAAATGGACACAAACCAAAATTATAGCTTCTTGTTGACTAACCACAAAACACAGCTTTTCTTTAGGAAACATTAAAGCATGTGAAACAAGAATCAAACCCTCTCTTTCAGTGAACAAAAACTGAACAAAGTTGTGCATTTCATTAGAACATTTTAAATATCAAATTTAAAACATGATATGACTTAATAAAGATTCTGCTGCTTAAAGACAAAAATGCTGAGATGTTCTGATTAAATTTCTGCATAGTATTTACCTCTGAACATCTGAAGAATGCTGTAATATAGAAATATTGTTATTACAATTCCTATTCATTGAAATCAACAGGCAGTTGTATGAGCATAGATTTGTGAAAATGGAATGGAGAAAACCCCTATGCCTTCCCCTTAGAAAAAATACAACTTTTTCCATCTACTATGTAGATGGTTAGTAATCAGCAAAAAGACAATGGCAAATGTGTATATAAAATAGAGAAGAATCCTCCTGCTCCATGGCATATGAGGTTTACCAAAGCAGTGTTCCTGAAATATCTTTGATGGGATGAGAATTTCTTTGGAATGCACACACATGATAAGAGCTGATTTTCCTGGATAAAAACAATCTGTTTAAATAATAGTTTCTCGTGGCCAAATGGAAGGTCAGGGTTATGCAAGAAATAGAACTGTGACTGCAGACTACAGATGCTACAGACATTGGAAACCTCTGATGTATTAAGGAATTTCAGGGACAACAGATGGACATGTTTGGATCTGCTGAGCATTCGTGCTTCCCACTGAACTGTTTATTAACTTCAGGACTACACCAGAAGTCTAACAAAGCAAATTAAATCTACAGGACTTCTCTCCTCTTTCTCAGAGGCAACAGGCACTTTCACAGTTTCATTTCAGGTAGGATTATGGGATGGAAGCCGTAATGGAGATGTTAGTCAACAGAAACAGTTGAAATAGCTTATTTCTGCTTTTGCCATTAACGTGTGCTTAGGGAAACATTTCCAAATGCAAGTGCTTAATGAATGGGAGAAATGATTGCCTCTAACAAGTAATGCAGAGTGACATTAAAGTAGCTTAAAAAGTTAAAGAACTCACCGATTCTTTTCTGCTCATAGTTTTGCTTTGGGAACGGGAGCGGGAGATGGTACTGAAAAAGGAATCCTTTTTTGATGCAGACAAAGGCGGAGATCCGGTAAATTCACGTCCTCCAGGCAAGCTCTCTATGCTTGGAGATGAACTGATGTTTTTTGAACTTTGGCCTGTAAAGCAAGTATGAAGTAAGAAAAGCATTAATCAACAGGCAGTTTCTTTTCCCTGTAAATACTTCCTTGTCTTAATTGACATTCACTGAGTATCAGACAGCTCAACACAGAATGAAATGTTGAAGTGTGTCAGCATGCACTGTGAGATTGAAGGACTATTTAGACATACATGGAACTTAATTTTTGTATGAGAGAAAAATACAAAATCTTATTGCATATATAGATATATACACAAACACACACTATCTAGTGTGTACATATATATATGCTAAACAATATATATATGTAAATATCAACTCAGTATATATACCCTCTATATCCACAGCCTGTGGACCTTCTCTTCCCTGTGTGGCATAATGAGCAAAAGTACCGTCTCATAATAAAAAAAATCTTATGTCACCAACACTGCAAAGGAAATCCTTTTTCTCTCAAGAACTAAACTATAAAACTTGGCAAAGAAAGGCAAGAACAAGAACATCAGATTCCAAGAATGGGTTGGGCAAGGAACATCTAGATGACAATATCTAGACTTACAACAGGAAAAAGTAAGTTAAGTTTGGGAAAGAATATAAGTTCTTACGCTTCAAATTTTAAGGCCATCTCCACCTAACAGACATTTCGATGAAGTCTACTCAATAGTTACTTATTGTCATTCCATGCGGCTTTTCAAAAGAATCTAGTGTTGTCCACTGCCATAGCAAAGACATCTGGGTAGATGCCTGTATGCAGTTAGGCAGTCTTTGATAAGGAGCCTTATTTCCAGTTGAGGCCCAAAAGTGCTCTGACACTTTTAACATAAAATTTTATTTTGGTTAGCTCCAGAATTATTTTTTTAAAAAACTCAGTTTTCATTAACTTTCATTAAGAAAATGTCGCATTGGGACAGATGCTAGTTTTAAAAAACCTTTCTACTATGTGTATGAGGAAGTCAATCCAGAGTGACCCAGTGCAATTCTAGAATTTTCCATTCTGAAAAAAGGTAAAATTGCACGTAAAACAAAAGCTCTAGAATTCTTCCCCTTTCTTGTTTTGTCAGCTATTCTGATGAGTCTGTTCACGTTCTCTCTTCTTCCTTTCTTTTGTTTTTGGTGTGCTTTTCATGCTACCGCCTATAGCATCAAGAACGATCCTCTGAAATTACATCATTCAAATGTCACAGGTGCGGCTTCATCTCCTTTGCAAGGTTGTGATCGAATTCAAAACCACCTCCCTCACAGATGACAGTGGTTCATAATTCTTTGCTCTGAGCTGCTCCTACCCTCTGTGTCAGTTTTACTCCCAGATATGCCACATATTCTTGCACAGACCTTACAATGTATTTAGTGTTTTGTTAGTTTGGATGCACTACCAGTTCTGAAAAAATAAAACTAACTCCTGTTCCGGAATGGGTTAGTCTCCCCTTCATCATGCACTGTGGTCTTCCCCCATGACACAGGTTTCTAGAGAAATAAAAGAAAACTAAAAGAAAAAGAAATGACTGAAAATAGAGGCAGAAAAGGCTGCAGAAAATGCAGAAAGAAATTCAGATTTAGATACAAAAGGAAACCAACTTTGCTGAGATGAAACATTTTAAATGAAAGGAAACAACCAGCAAAACCTACTCGCACAGATACATCAACTTAATTCAGTTATTTAAGATCTAGAATGGTAACTGTCCTTGAAGTGGTGTGGAAGTCAACGTTGCCATGCTTGGCCACCTCCTGGGTGGAGACAAAGCCCAAGCCAAGTTCTCTGCGGTGTTTGACCTACGCAGCATATATTGTACAGCCGCAGCCACATGAAACCAGAAATTCACATTTTCTTAAGGGAACAAATCTTTAAAATGTCCTCTTAGCATGAAGACTGTTAAATGCAAAGAGACTGAACTAGCAAAGAATAAAACATCACATGTGACAAACTAGACCAAAAAGGACAAAACCCAAGAAAGGATTTGGGTTTAATATTCTCAACGTTTTCTGGAAGAAAACTGGCATATAAACTGCTTCCCATCTTCTCCTTCATTCTCTCCCGTCTGATTTTGGTCTTCTCTCCCATGACCCGTCTACGTTTCTTCTGCTTCTCATACTCATGTGGACCTTCCTCTGTCTGCCCTCTCCACTTCTTCAGACCCCTCCACATTGCCTGTTCTCCTTCTGCGACTTCCTTGTTCCAACTTTTCCCTTTACATATTCTTCCCTTCCCACCAGCTTCATTCACCTGCATGTTTCTGTTTCTTCCCAGCCCTTCTCTCGTCACTTATCACCTACCACTTTATCTGAACAGCTTCCTTAAAGAGCAGGAGATGGAGGTTGTAAGATCTCACTTAACTATTGCCTTCACATTTTATAGAGAAATGGCATATGCATTAACTACAGGAACATGAATCTCCAATCCTGTAAATAATTCTAGAAATAGAAAAGGAGAAAACACTGCATGGCAAACAGCAGAAACAATTCAGTCACAAGGAAGTTTTAGAAGATTTCTAATTTTAGGATAAAATCATGCCACTTGGCAACACCATTATCCTTACAGTTGCCTTTATGTAAGAAGGAGACTTTATATGCATTTCATAGTGGCAATTTACAATGGAAGTGTGGTTTTACAGTAGGTAAAACTTAAAAATAGTTTTGGAATAGATTAAATTACATATTTTAGCAAATAAAGCATTTATAAAAGAAATTCACACTGCTAAGCCACAGCAGCCAATATAAATGCTAAACATAAAAAATTCTATTTGGTGGCCAGAGTAAAGTACAATAAAAAAATATTTGATTATCTATAAATCAGACTAAACGGGCTCTCTTTCCCCTCCTAGTAATAAGAAGATATCTTCCACATAGGATCAAGATTTAAAAACCAAACCAAAATGTTAAGCAAGGAGCAGTGTATGTTTTTCACATACTTCTCCACTGCATGGCCTGTGCTTAACCCACCTCAGCTGCAAATAAGCAGACTACATGGTGAAATTTCATAGATAACATTGAAAGAGGGACACTTCAAATATAGTTGAGGAACGCATGCACATGAAATAATATAGCTTGGTAAAATGATGTAAAGAATATTTGTAAGGACTTTTTTCCTATGTTCTGTCTTTCAGCTCTAAGGAAAGAAAGTCCAAAATATAATAGGGAACTGAAAAGACAGAGAACTACCCTTATGGCTACTGCTTTGCTTACTGAACAGCTACACTTGAAAAGATGGATCGCAGTTCAGGGGAATGGAATATACAGCTACTTGCATAACCAAACAAGAGAAGAAATATGTATAGCTGGGATTTTGTGGACAGAACACATAACTGTCCTAAAAGGGAATTTGCTCAACTAACACGAGGAGCTCTGACTAATCTGGTTCTTATGGACTATAAAATACATTGAAGATGAAAAATAAAAGCAATACAAGATATAATGAAATTAAGATAGAGCTACAGTAAAACAGAAGTGATAAAAATACTATTTCTGTATGTTTTATACCCAGGTAAGAAGAAATCTTAGGATTAACCTGATCCTTCTGTATGAATAAGCAATCTGAGAAAATTACCATCAGGAAACACTGAATTTTTACTCTGACTCCAGCCCTGTGACCAGCACTGTGACATGGATTATTTGGTGATGTGATTAAGAATTAAGCAAGACAGAAAGAATAGCACTTATGAATATAACTACAGTGTGTTGCAAGTCATAAAGCAGGGTTCTTGTATTGTAATAGGCATTCCCAATTTCCAGAGGAGTCATCATTTTTACAGCTGTGAATAAGAAAGCTGAAAGACAAGTCACACCAATCATACATGTTTTCCCTAATGGAACAAAAAGAGCCACCTATCATTTTCCCAACACAGAATTTCTTCTTCCCAACAGAGAAGTTTAGCAGGGCCTGTTGCAATAGGGCAAGGGGTAATGGTTTTAATCTAAAAGAGAGTGGATTCAGATTAGATATAAGGAAGAAATCTTTTACAATGAGGGTGGTGTAACACTGGAACAGGTTGCCTGGAGAGGTGGTAGATGTCCCATCCCTGGAAACATTCAAGGTCAGGCTGGATGGGGCTCTGAGCAACCTGATCATCTAGCTGAAGATGTCCCTGCTCATTGCAGGCGCGTTGGACTAGATGACCTTTAAAGGTCCCTTGCAATCCAAACTGTTCTGATTCTATGACTCTATGATTTTAAGTTTAGTGGAGCTGCTGCAAGAACAGTTAACTGAAGTCACCATGATGCTTTTGAAGTTTTTCAAGTATTATGTGTGCATGGATACCTGAGGCATTAACCACCCTCACGTAACTTTGGAAATAACACTGCAGCACCAGTGCAGAGATTTCAGGATCTCAGGACGATTACACAAAATGCCATTTGTGTCTTCCCTGTCATGTGTCTCACTGATTCTGCATTTTTCTTAATAAGCAGTGTGGCACGTTCTCCTCACTCAACTGCTCAACAAAAAGGTAATTCAAGAGAGTTTCTAATTTTCCAATTCCTCAGAAAAAAAAGCAAAAGAACCCCCAACAAACCATGTACCCTCCATGTACCATCAAAATTTATAAAGAGATGCAATAAACTACAGTTAATAACTAAGCAAACTCATCTCCTTCTTCTTTAGCAGCTTAATAGGCAACCTGAGAACATCACTGAATCAAAACTTTCATTTTCCTCTGCTCATTCTGTCAATCTCAGATAAATACATTATGCCTCCTTAAAAGAAGATTAGAGAAATCTAATCTCTGACTATCTAAGCGTACACCAGAAGGTCCTAAAGCCTGTATGAAACAGGCTGAAGAAACCACAAGCATGGAAATCAAATAAATGCTTATGAGGCACAGAGAACAAATAGCTAAGGATCCCTGACGTAAGCAGTAGTCAGAACACATTACTGTGTAGGATGTCTCAAAAATATACATGTGCACACTAAAATGCATAAATAGTTCACAGTAACGACGCACAGGATTTCATGCACTAAAAATGCATCCCCTTCTGGGGTGAAAAGGAGCAGTGTTACCTCCCTGTGCTGGCTTCTAACTGGCTCACCAC